TTTATATGTTTTAACTTTATTCCTTGAGATTATAGAATGTCTGGCAATACTAATTACCCGCAGTGGAGGTCCAGCGATCAGGCTATTGTAGAGAGATGCAGTAAGAAGAGCATATGCACATACACTTGGAAGCAGTGCTTCCATTTTAGTGTTAAATTAGCTATTCTAATGCCACCAGACAGTTGTCACAATAGCAACATTAAGCATTGCAGGGTATGCTCTCACTTCCATTGCCTCACTGACTGTACTATTGGCTGATATTGAAAACCAGCCATGCGGAAATTCTAAGCAGCTAAGAGTACGATAAGATAGGCCCGAGTGTGACTTATCCTAGATACCAAAGTAGGCCAAAAAATAAAAAATCTTTGCTATTCCAATGAATCCACTTGAAAAATTAAGGTTTTGTACAGAAGATTGTGTGCTAAGAAATGCTAAATAAAGCTGAGAATCTGTACAATAATTTTTTCCTAAATTTAGCCAGGGTATGCACTGCATACCTTGCTCGAATTGACAGTCCACCACTGCTAATGATGGTTGGCGGGCCGCACACATAGGGCTTTAATTCGTTTTCGCAGGCCGCAAAAAAATCACTGTCCGGCTGCACTTTGCCCACCTGTGATTTACTGTAAGAGGACCCTTGAATATCAGTCAACTTCTAGGATATGCAGGAAGGCTCACTCTCTCTATATATACACTAAGACAGCCATTTTACGTACCCCTTGGTACCCAGGGATGTTCGTAAATTAAAAAATTTGTAAACTACATCAGATGTCTGTTTCCAATACCTAGGCCTAGCTATCCCCTGCCATTGAACGCCAATAGGCTGCCGGCAGCCAGGCCTAGCACGAACCGACAGTGCAGCAGCGTGGTCTACCGCATTTAGAACCTAGCTGAATTTACCTTAAAACAAAAAAAAAATTGTTTAATCGCTGGCATTCTTACTTAACAAAATATTATTTCAACTCTTATTCAAACACCTGTTTTATGGACCTTTCTATCTTGTTGTTTCTAATTGTTAGATCGCTGAATTGTGTTGTTTACATGCATTTCGCGATCATATCTAGCATTCACGATGTCAATAAATTGCTGACCCCAACACTCTCATTTGTCATTGTAAACATATGCGTTAAATCCAACGACACTTGTGTTGGTAGTTTGTTGTTCTGGTTAGGTTTATTACATGGAAATGGAAGAAAAGATCTAACTATTAATAAATAAATACAAAAAACTTGATTATATTAAAAATATATATACATTATCACTTTGAAAATCATGCACAATCACATTTTTTTAAACGGTAATAATTGGTTGCTGATGAAGTCATCAGGGGCAATGACCATTCGTAAAATCAACGTTCGTAAAATGGAAGTTTTACTGTATATAGTTTAAAAACAAAAATTGTATTCTATTCTGACACTGCAAGTAAAAGTGTTGCTAATACTATTTACCTTTTCAAAGTTGTGTTGTGCTCCCTGGAAGATCTTTACACACCTTTCGTTTGGTGCATATGGTCTGATATCCCAAATACGTACTATAAAAAAAAACAACCAATTTATTCAAATAAACATTTTAAAAAAGGATCAATTGAAAAGACTGTGTAAAAAAATGCAATGCAAACTACATAATGCTATATTGAAATAAAATCAAACGAACTAACATAAAACTACAAACAGATAATTTTAATATAATATCAGTACATCAGAGGGAGGATAATCAATGATTGGAAGAGTCTTATCTGTTCAAGTACCAGGTGGAAAGGGCCTAAATGAAGAGACTTACCGGTGCAATCCATGGAATTTGAAAGAACGTATGATCCATCAGGACTCAATACTGTACTTGTGACTGTGTCCGTGTGGCCAGACAACTTGTAAACTAGATCATTCTTCCTGATATCCCATACCTGATCAACAAATAAATAACCTAACATACTAAACATTGGAAATATACAAATTGAATATGTTTCTTGTGCACATTCCTTATCCGCCTCTTCATCTCTATCATTACTAATGTTCAACAACACCTTAATCATTAGGCGAGACTTTTACTTTTTTAATACCTTGTTCAGCAATCTTATTTTTCAAAGATCGTCAGAGGGTGGAAAAAAAATGAAAAAAAATTTTGTTTTTTACTTAGCAGATTTTGCCAAAAACATCCAGAGATGAGAAAATAAAAATAAAATTTTATTGTTGAATGTAATCAGTGTAGTAATGGGATGGTTAAATGCTTTAAATTTATATAGTTAGGAAGAAATACCTTATTTTTGGAGATTTCAAGGCAGTGGCGGCGTAATAAATTTAAAGAAAAACTTTTATATTTGTCTAAAATTTCCATTTTTTCGTGGTGGCAAGTGTGCTAATTGGCCAAAAATAAAATTGTATTTTTATTTAAAATCATCATTATTGGTGTGCGGCGGGTTCAACAAACAAGGTATAAAAAAAGTCTTGCCTTAAGGCCTGTTTACACTTCAACGATAATGATATAAAAGCAAAAAAGCAATTGTTCATATAAAAAATAAAAGAAATAAGAGAAGTGTTTACACTAGAATGATGCGATAACAACATATTTTGACAAATCATTTCAGATGACATCATAATCATGGAAAAACATTAAAATCATCGTAGTAGCAACGATTTTATCGTTTGTCCATGATTATGACGTCATCTGATTTGATTTGTTAAAATATTTTGTTATTGCATACACGATAAATCATTATAGAATCGTCCTAGTGCAAAAACTTCTCTTATTTCTTTTGTTTTCTATATGAACAATCGCTTTTTAGCATTTTTATCGTTATCGTTTTCGTTGAAGTGTAAACAGGCCTTTATACGCGAGTATACGGTATTTGTTTTAAAACCCTAGGTCACCTGAGCGTTAGAGGATTGCCCCATGCCGTGAGAGATTCAAGTGGGGTTAAATCAAACATTATATAGAACAAAGAATCAAGTTAACGACCTAAGCAATGCTGATCAATCTATCTCATGTCACCCTGCACCAAAAATTACTGCATCAAGAATACTATGCATTAAAGGATGTAAGCTTGGTGGGAATGTTAATGTACAAAAAGATGCTCTTGAATGCTCGCTCTGTCAAGAACAATTTCATAAATCTTGCCTGAAAATTAAATCGGCGTCAAATCCAAGAGTGTGGCTTTGCCCACACTGTAAAGACATACCCGGAACCATTAAAACCCTAATGCAAATATTACACACATTATATTAGACGATAACACGATATCATTGATTGAACGATCTAACTAGGCCTACCCTTGCATCGCAGTAATACTGAACTAGGCCTAGCTTAGGCCTCATGTTTTTGTGGAAAGCTAGATAGTCATTATGTACTCGACAGTCGGCTGCCTTTATATTTTCACCTGTTTTCAGTTTGCATTCAAAGGGTACATTGCTGCACAGCCAACTGTCGGGGATATAGTACCTTCATATGACTACTCATACGTATACAACTTGAATGAACACACTTGACAATGTATAATCTGTCTCTTATACACATCTAGATGTGTATAAGAGACAGGTATTAAAACATTTTAGTTTTATTTTAGGTCTTCTTCAAAATACCTATGCCTACAGCAGATGATTTTTTTGCTGTAAAACCAAAATAGTTTCATCCATGCCGACATTCCGGTCGGTTAGCGTGAGCCCTGACTGAACTCTGCAGAAACTTCACATCGATCTCCGTATCACGATGTAAAACAAAATGTCGGAAAACTTTTCTTTGACGCATGCGCATTTGCATAAATGTCTACACACACACATACACACTACACACAATAAAAAACATAGGAAATAGCAAGAGTGATTACAATAGTTCCTATTGCATTACATGCATAGGAACTAAAAAGCGATTGTTCATATAGAAAACAAAAGAAATAAGAGAATTTGTTATTGCATACACGATAAATCATTATAGAATCGTCCTAGTGTAAAAACTTATCTTATTTTTTTTGTTTTCTATATGAACAATCGCTTTTTAGGATTTGTTATCGTTATCGTTGAAGTATAAACAGGCCTTTACTAATCACCACTACCATGAATGTGTTTGTTTCCATTATTATCACTATCATCATAATCATCACTATCATAAGTTTTGTGATTTGCAAGGACAGCATTTTAGTATTACTAAATTGTTTGTATACTTTCTTCACTAAGTATACTAACTAAAAATCACAACAAATTTAAGTAGTTTCAAATATCAAACACAAGCTTAAATGGAAATTATTTTGTTTACCTTAAGTACGTTGTCTATACCGCCTGAGATAATCTGATCACTCGTGTCATTAAATGTGACGGACAACACTTGGTATGTATTCTGGAATGTTTGAATAGTTCCCTTCCTACGACTGTCCCATAACTAGAGAAAAAAAGAGAGACAATCGTCATCAACAACTATACAACTAAATATCATTTTAATATTTTATATGCTTAAGTGTTGCTGCTGTCAGAACAGGAGTGGGCAACACCACCAGGTACCCATTTATACTCCTTCTTGCTGCTGTTCTTGCTGCGCCAAACCACTTCTTGTTCGACAAACAAGTAATGAGCTTCAGATATTGTAGATAATTCAATTTGAAGGCCAAATATTGATCAATACCACCTACGATCATAACAGTGAAATGAAAATATTTTTACCACTTACCCTTATTGTACCATCATCGCCCCCACTAACTATCATCTGGGGTCCTCTTCTGGCTGGGTAGCAGGAATTGACAAATGCTGTGTGACCTTTTAACCTCTTGATTCTGGCACCTGTTTCACTGTCCCATAATGCAATGGTTTTGTCTGTTGAAGCTGTGAGAATATTACTAAAAATAAAACAAAACAAGCAATCCTCAAATATTAATAATTATTTTTATAATCCTCATACTATCAGTGTCACTCACCCCATGGACTTTCAATGGTAACATTGTACAAACAGTGCTAAAATTCATGGTTAAGGTCAGGTATCAAATTTTAATTAAATATGATTTAAAAAGTGGCTATTTCAATATCATAAAACAAGTGTTTCGCACCCTAGATGCCGATCAGGCTTGGGTAGCACAAGTTTTTTTTTTATCTAACAATAATTGTACAGTGAAAAATGTAAGGCTGTAATAAAATATTTCAGACTTGCCATGCCAAATCCAGCATCAGTGACTAATACAAAAAAATTGAATTTTTAATATATTCATATTCTCCACATTACAAGCTTTAAAATGATGGGTCATTTACTGGAATGTCTTAAGCCCCTTTCAGACAGAAAATACCGCAATAATACCCTAATCACGCCGCCGTTATTGCCAGCGCAGACCCTTTCACACAGCTAGTTAAAATACGGTAATAATACCGTATCCTGTCTGAAAGGGTTCTCGTCGAAAGGAGTACTGTATTTGATGTCTGTGGTGCTTGTTAACAAAGAGCGCGCAAGTTTTTGTTTACTCCATTAATCCAATATGGCTGGGGATGAAGTCATAAAACTGCTGCTTTGCAATGTTCTTTAATGCTTGCTATGTTTGCAATACATATAAATTGAGAAACAGAATGTTTCTAATGCGTTTCGTTCAAGGGAAGAAAGAATTTAGGAAGCGTTTAAGGCGAGGCCGGCTTGAATCTTGAGCAGCTAGGTGCAGGCGATTTTCGCGTCTAAAAGAACTGTCAGCTAGCGATTTCATCGGCTTTGTTAACTGCAACAGCGGTTGATGGGTACTCGTGTTACCGTCTGATTTGTTATGCCTCAGTGCGTAAGACGGCAATGAACCCTGTACCCTTTCACATCGAGTTGACAAAACTCGCTACGGTATTGAGACTAGGTCCCGAGGAGGTCTAACTGAAGCCGGCGTTTAGGCGTATTTACCCTTTCACATAGAACGCCGGCATTCGAGTAATACGGTATTAATACCGTTTTGCAGGTCTGTCTGAAAAGGGTATTACTGTTGCTAAAGTTATGAGCAAAAATGTAAAGTCTACAATACTGACACATTCTTATGCTAATTACTCAGTTTAACATTAACAACAGTATGCTGGTTTTTGGATGGCAAGCTTCATTTGTATTTATAACCTGAGTCATAAAAAAAGAAATGCAATTTACATTTTGTACATGAATATGAGAGAAGCAAAAAATAATTGAAACTAATGAGTTATGTAAAATGCTAACAATTCAATTAAATAATATTTATAATGGACAAAACCAACCTTCCATCTGTGTTGTACTGTAGATCCATAATTGCCCCTTGATGACCCTTCAATACTGCATAGTTGTCACATTCTCCATAAACATTCCACATATCTAGAATCAAAAGAAATACCCAATAAATGAGGTATTTCTTCATCAGTAAATCAAAAGGCGAGTAGAAGCCTAAAGAACTAAATCAGTCACTGTCGTACAACGCAGTAAAGATTTATAGTCAAAAACAGTGTTTAGGTTGGCGTGAGAATATTAGACAAGTTAATATTCTATGATGCGACTGTCCTATTGCGCCAGTCTTTAACCCACACAGACCCAACGCGACAACAAATCACGTCGGGCTGTGTTCTGTGAGTTGGGTTTAACATGAAACATATTGGTACACTTCTCTACTGTATACTCACAGATTAGTCTGTCAAACCCAGCGGTGGCCATACTCTGACCATCAGGATGAAATTTTCCAGTGTAAACCTCTCCTTCGTGTCCAGTGAGTAACATGATTGGAGCTAACATACTTGATGTCCTTGGTGGACCCTACAGTTCATACGAAGAAAGTTAAACTGTGCTTCAATGTGATTAGAAATAAATAGAGTATATAAAGGTGAGAGATTCTGTATAGAGTAAACTTGGACGGCTGACCTGACTTAGGGCACATAGAATTTAATTGTTAGATTAAATCTCCCACCTGCATCAAACATTTGGGAAATATTGATGCAGGAATGAAAAAAAAAATTAAATTTTTGCAGCAACATTTATTTCAACAGCATAAAAAAACAATGCAATTTTGTGACTAGAAATAGATTTTCTTTAAAAAAAAAACAACAAAATTAAACCAGTTGTTATACAATATTTTGTGCAAATTGATGTACATCTTCAAGTTTCAAGTTTGCTGTCTGTTTTTTGTTGTCTTTTTCTTTTTGCCAATAGAAATAAACTGATTTCATGCGATGTTTTGTCTGTATTTGGCTATTTGAAACTTCATCAGAAAATGAAATATATCCTTTCCAGACTGTTAAGTAAGACTTGCACGGGAAATACATCAATTAGGCCTAGCAATCTGTCAGCGCATTTCGGAAAATAAGGGCCAATTTCCGTGCAGATTTTTGCCAAAAAATAGGCCTTGACCTATCGCTTGTTTGTAACCAATGTATTACGCTGCAACTAAAAATACTTTCATTATAATATGATTTGGATGATTGGCTTTTTATTAAATATTTTTTATCTAAACCACTGCCTACTGTAGAACCTCTGCCAATCAGCACATGCACCACATACCGTCTGTAAAAAATAAATATGGACAGCGCTAGGCATAGGCCCCATACTGTAACAAAGTTTTTTAATTGCGTGGAGGATATCTAAAAAATCAGCTCAAGTTGGCACGAAAAATTGCTAGGAAAATAGGTGCGCGGAATCGTAATTGCTGCATAATTGCATTGGTCTACATATTATGATTTGGTAAAAATAAAACAATTTACGGCAATCTTCCTAATAAATGCACGGACGGATTTCTAGGCCAAATTTTTGTGTGGAGTATATAATTCCCCGTGCAGGCCTTCTACTATACAGTCTGGCATAGATAGCCTAGGGCTAGGCTAGCCTAGGCTTGCGCCTAGGAAGGCCTACACATATCCTGCACAAAATTTAGGCCTAGAATTTAATCCTAATATTATTGTAATAGGCTAAGTACAACATCATCCAGCCGGCTAAACCGAATCGATCTCTCGACCTAAGGATAGGCAGCCTAACGACTAAACGCCCAGGCCGCGTCTAGGCCTACTTTGTACATACAAAGAACCTCGGACTCGAGCCTAGGCTAAAGGCCAAGGCTAGGCCTGCCTAGGCCTAGGCCTACTAGTCGGCCAATGGCCTAGGCTAGGCCTAGATCTATATCCTCATGCCACCCTCCCCGGTACGGTCGGTCCTAAATAAATAACCATAATAAAGCATACCGATTCCATTAACTGTCTATGCTGATCAGTGGCAGCAACAAGTTCGTTTTTTCTTCTTTTTGTTGGCATCAAAGCCATTTCAGCAGCCTTTCTTTTTATGTCCATCGTTTCTTCTCAAACTACTACGATACAACGACAAGCATCGGCGATCGAAAGTCTCTCTTAAACTCGACGCCAGCGTGTGCAGCGCTTCGCCGCTACCTCAGTGTTCAGGCTTCAACTTGAGTGTACATACAACCTAACGCGTCACCAAGAATTCTGTTACGACGTTCACTCACAATACAGACTGTATTACAATTCCAATAGACCTATCTTTCATTCATAAATAAATTTGTATACAGTTGCTTGCATGATTTAAGCTCTTTAAACTAATAATATGAAAATGACATTGTCATACAAATATTTTTTTTAAATCTAAAATGAAACATAAACATAATACAAAAGGTTTTTTTTATTAAATAAAATTTGATAGGCCGGTCGGTAGGCCGACATCGCGATTATGGATGAAAATGCATTCGTTTTAATATACATCTGTTTAATTATGAATCCCGTTATGAATACTATTTAATCATCGTGTTTTAGAACTCTTTAAATCTTAAGTGTTTAAGAAGTATGTCTATTTTGTAAAGTAATTTAATCACTGTTCCCTGTTTAAACTAGCATTAACTCTAAGTTGATAAGCCTCCTGTCTTTTTATCTTTACATACTTGAAAGATAAGATGTATTACTTCATTTATTTATTTATTTTGTTTGTTTGGGTCTCCGTTCATAAAAGGTATTGACACTGTAATTTAAAAAAAATTATCCAATTAGCATTTTATTTTTGCGTTTTAATTTGTTTAAATATTTTTCTTAATCATCATTGCGTAGCTTCAGTAAAAATATATTGTATACTCAAACATACGTACCAAGTTAATCTATTAATTCCTAGGGGTACCGATTTGCAAAAAGGCATTGTTTCAATGGGATTCGAACCCGCTCTTATACGTGGTTGGTCTACCAATTAAGGTTTAAGACCACAGTTGCATTCAGCATTGAGGGAATTATTAAACACTACTTTGCCACTAATTTCCTCATGCACAAAAACGCAATAATTATCTAATCTAAAATAAATGTGATTATATTGTAGTATTTCATGAAATATTTCAATACTGTAGTAGGCAAAAAATTAAGACAAAATTAAGAGTGATTCCTGTATTTGTTGTGATTTTCCTCGCGTGTGATTATGACGTTTTAGAGTATCTTTCAACGTATTCAGTGCGTTTGGTCGTTTAAATTATAACAAAACAAAAAAAACAAAAAAAAAAACAATACATGGTAGCAGCGTGTAAATTGTAAATTGTCCATCCCAAATGCAACTTAAGATGGCAAATTCTAATGCACAGTTGACAAGCATACCCGAGCAGTCTATCCTTGAGGTGTACTTTTTGGCACTTGGACAGTACAATTATGACCGAGCAAAAGAACAAGCGGTAAGAGGGTCAAGAAAATCTTTCCACGGCCCCTCACTCAGGCCTAGGCCTAGGCTAGGTGACTCTAGGCAGGCTCCTAAAATAGTGGTGTTAGCCCTCGGGCTTTTTAACTGTAGGCCTAGGCCTAGGCCTAGCCTATGGAATATTTGCATATTTAATGAACCTTAAAATACACACCTAAAAATAAAATACACACTTCACTATTGATTGGAGCATCATTCACTCAATCATGTAGGAGTTAGCATATTATAATAAGGTTGTGCGAGGGAGGCCACCTAGACCTAGGGCCTAGGACTAGGTGGCCTACCCTAGTTCTGGCCTACCCTAGTTCTGGTTCATTTTTAATCACTTGTATTGTATCATGATGTCAATCTTTCTTATCTGTATTTAAGGCCCGTGTAATTTTTTCCATCAGGAAAAGGAAAGAGAAGCAATGAGAAGTGCATCTGGTTCAGCTTCTTGGTTTTGGGTGAACACACTTGGCATGCTATCACGGCTTGCAGTAGCTGAAAAGAATTATGCATCACTCACCTATTTAAGTCCAAAGTGGTTTGGTAAAAAGGAGGTATGTATTTACATATGGTGACACCCAAAATTGTACCTCAGATTCCTTAATTTTAAACTATTTTGCAAAACTTTTAGAAAATACCCATTGCATCCTAAAGTGCCGTCTACACTATCAAATTTTATGTGACAAAAAAATGTGATGTGCCCATATATGGGTATGATGACATCATATCACATATTTTCAAATTGTATCAAAAAAATTTGAACATGTCCAACTTTTTTTTTATGTCGTCTGTCAAGAAGTTTTCAAGTTTTTTTAGAAAACACATTTTGACCAATAAGCAAATACTAAAAGTCACACCAACCAATCGAATTTGATAATTCAGTTTCATCAGAATACATCACAATTTTTTTGGCGGTTTGATGTATTTTGATGATATTGTTCCATCAAATTTTATGTGATGCTTTTTTGATGAAATTTGATAGTGTAAAATAATAGCCAACAATACATTATGCAGGCAAATGAGTATACAGTACTTTTAATTATAACAAAGAGGTATGAAATATTGTACCTCCTGGATTTTACATAAAATACTGTACGTAGTGATTAATATTTACTTTTCAACAGATTGGCTCATGTTCTAATGCAAATTTATCTTTACATCTAATCTCAGTCAATGAAGTTGACGTATTCCAGTCTTGTGACTGATTTGGGCAGCATGGAGCAGAGTGGGGCTGGCCAAACGGGGCAGGCTCAACAGACTGAAGTACTTCTGGCCCATATATGTGATCAGATTCGTCATTTCTGTGAAGCACGGACGGAAACAGTGGAGTTGTGAGTACCGGAAAATTATTATCAATATATGAGTATCTTGAACTTAAAAGATGTTTAGTAGGATTTTATTTAAACAATTAAAATTTTAAAATCAAAAATATAATTTAATAAAACATTATATTAAATTGCAATATGAAAATAATTGCTTAAAAAACATAATTAAATGCGAATAGTATGCAAAGGTGGCCCATTAAATCTTAAATTAATTCCTTGGTGAGCATGGCTTGGCCAAGTCATTGATTGTCTTGTGAATTGGTTTTCTCAGCTATGACAAACTTTGCAAAGGTGGCCCATAAAATCTTAAATTAATTCCTTGGTGAGCATGGCTTGGCCAAGTCATTGATTGTCTTGTGAATTGATTTTCTCAGCTATGACAAACTTTGCCCAATGGGAAACCAGAGGACAGATGTAGACTATGGTGAACTTCTCAGCACAGTGGATGGTCTCATTGCAACGTAGGTACATCTTCATTATATGACATTGTTATATGGTAAAAATTTATTTTGCTCTAGAGGTTATAAGCTTAATTTATGTTTTAAAAAAGCAAAGTGTAACTGTATCTTAATGTTCAGTATGCTGACCTTTCAATTCCAAATTCTGGATTCAAATTCTACATTTTGTCTAAATTTTCATATAGCTCCAAACAGTTTGTATTTTCTGGTACACAATAAGCCTGCTCCATCCAATTCATGGGTTTAGCCAGAAAAATGTAATACAGTAAGCTGTTCAAAATGGAAGACGAAGAACTTGTCGCGTAGGGACAGCTGAGGAGGGGGGGGGGGGTGGTTTGGTAAATTCTACCCTAGGTCTTCCGAATTGAGAGATGTATAGGCCTAGGCCTACTGTATTTTGTTAAATATTGAACTTAACTTGCGATGTTAACAACAAATCTGCTTTACGGTATTTTATGAATTAATTATAATCAGGCAGTTACGAATAAGAACGATATCTTGGGAAACCGAATCTCAAAAGACGGCAAGATGGTTTGCTGGCTAAGTTTTTGATCAAATTTTTAGTGTCAGCCTAGGCTATATCTGTGCAGTGTTTGTGGAAAAGAATAAGAAAATGTGAATGCAACATTTCGAAAGTGATATCTTTTTCATTCAACAGACATGGTCACCATTTTCACCATCCTCTGCTTATCCCAATCAAACAGCGTTTTACATTAGAGCTAGAGGTTTTACAAGGGCTTCTAAAAGCCCATCAGTTCATGCTGGACTGGCAGTTCCTGCCAACCTTGCTACAGTTACACAATGTTCATAGTAAATTGGAAAATCTTGGGGCCAACATTCGTTTCAAAGAGGTTAGTGAAATACAGTGTACGTAATGTATGAATTATAATAACAATGACCGTTAGAATGACACCTTATATATTGAACTATTGATTGATTGATATTATATATGAGTAATATTTTCAATATTAGATTAATTTGAGTATTAATATTTATATTGAATTTATGTTCATGTTGTTGTTCTTGGATTTACAGTTTAAGATTTATTTTCAAGTTATGCAGTAAAAATCACATTTAATGATTAAGCTAAAATATAAAAAAGCAGAGTGACCTATTTTTGTTTATCAATTTCCGGTCTTGTTAATACCTCAGGGCAAGAAATCGGGTGTTGTGATTCCATCAAAAGCTGTAGGGGTACCTCCACTCTACCAATGGCTTGCCAGGTTCAAAGCAGCTCAAGTGTCAAAGGTTAAGATTTGTTTCCTCATAACATTCAAGAGCTATTTATTTCAGATAAAATACTAGGCCATTATATTTGCTATACAATTAAATACATTCATTATCTGTATAAGGGGAGACTTTATTTATACCTTGTTTAGTGAACCCACCTACTGCAAATATTGATGATTTTGAATAAAAATAAAATTTTATTTTGTGCCAATTAGCATACACGCTGCCACAAAAAAGTGGAAATTTCAGAAAAAAAATGAAAGTTTTTCTTTATATTTATTACACGGCGCCCTCCGCTGCCTTGAAATATCCAAAGATAAGATATGGATATTTCTTCCTAATTATATACATTTGAAGCATCTAACCTTCCTATTTTACATTCACCAATAACATTTTATATTTATTTCCTCCTCCATTTGGATGTTTTTGGCAAAACTATTTGCTAAATAAGTAAAATATTTTTTTTTTTCCGCTCTCCTCTGACGATCTTGAAACAAATAAGTATGCGAAACAAGGAATAAAAGAAGTCTCACCTAAGTAGTAATATTGATAATTGCATGGAATAATTATAAGAGATGACAGTACTGTAATCTGTTTACAACAAACCTAAAAATACAAAAAATGTTAAAAATTGCCATGTGTTTTCCTATTTCAGTTTAGTTTATATTTCCATGATAGTCTTAGCAAGCAGGCATTATCTACGTCTGAATTCAAGGGACATCTAGCAAACCTTTTGGTTGATCATCGGGCTAAGTATGTATCTATGGAAGCTTGAAAGTGCCACCCAGATGTTCAGATGACAACATCCTGGATCTCGTCAAGTCTACATCTTGTAGAAGAGATGATCAGATGGCGAGATCCTGGATCCCATCGTGTCCACATACTTAAGAAGAAATGATCAGATGACAAGATCCTGGATGTCATCATGTCCGCATCTGATCATCTCCTCTGTGAGATGTAGACAAGATGAGATGATTATCTAGAAATCCGGATGGCACTTTAAGGTTTCCATATGTATCTGTAATGATAATATTTATACATTTCTAATGCAGTCTCCGTATTAATATGTTCAACTAGACCGTAGCATGTTTTGGAGTCTTGAAATTGGGAGGGGCTGATTGGGCGGGTGAGCAAAGTTTAAGTGAAGGGATTAATGATAAAATGAGGGGGTTCTAGGACTGCTAGTTCACAAATGAAGGTGATATGAGGTGATTTTTAACTGATTAAGCATCAATTTGTGCTTCAAACATTTTCATTTGGGGTCATCTGAGAGAGCAATCCTTTTTTGGGGTGAGGGGGTGCAAGTTGGACAGACATTATTTTCTATAACTACAACCACAACTACATCCATATTCACAGTGGAGAAGCATGCTAAATTATTCAACGTTGAAAACAATCAAGTCATTAATAACACTTCTTTCGTACAAATTCATTCTATAAAATAGACTTTAAATATGAGATCCTCTATAAATTTTAGGTTGTTCATTGACGTTTCCATGTGGTCCTGTGAAAGTAAAGTTAGTAGCTTTATTTCGGTAGTAGCAAGTGTTATAGACTATCAGCACATAAGACAAATATGTTAATCAAATATTTTTATGTGTGTAAGAAGACATCCTGTTTTTCAATCGTAATTTCCTATTTTAGGCCGCCTCTTATACGGTCGGGAGTACAGTATATATGTTAGGCCTAAAGTGGTACAGGAGTGAAATTATTATTCCATTATAGAGTCATTGTGGCAATGGTCACTTTGTGAGAGAAGATACAGTAAACGAGTGGACACAGGCAGAAATGATGTTGAAGCTGTTTTAGTGTTTGGGTTGGAGCTACAGTACATTATACATTATGTTAAAGCCGCCTTAAATCGTGTACCATGTTACTTACTTAATGGGTGTTATCAATTTTGTTCACTTGCAGAATAATTGCATTTTCCAAGAAGGCTGATGCATTGAATGTATCAGTGGTATATGATACAAATAATGCCATAGAAGTGTTCAAGGGCCATGGGTACCACCATCCATATAGCCAGCATGAAGTGCCCACCGGCCTTGACAGCTACCCTGCAATCTTCTCCTATCCAGAGGTATGCTTGTTGCTTGGTTTTCTGATTGAGGATTTTATTTGTTCCTGTTCATGCTGCTATTATTTTTTTCATATTTTCAGGTTTAAGTTTTTTTGTCAGTTTTTTATATATTTTTTTACCTAAAATAAAGCAGTTGGATCAGAAGGCATCCATATCTTGTGTTAAGCTCTCAGCTGTCCTAGTGTTCCTCTTGTCATTCATCCATTTGGAATGTATATTTTGAGGTGGATGTTATTTAAAGAAATAAATTCTGTTTATTATATGCAAAGGCATTAATATATATTAAAGTTTCCAGATTCTTTTCATAATCAAGGGTGCAGATCTGTTTTTAAAGTTGGAGGGGGGAACATTTCATAAGACCACACCCACCTTAGCCCGACCATGGTTGGGGCTGAGGTGCGAAATTTTGAAGAAATAGTAACGCTAGATGGCCGGAAATGACACTCTTATATGGCGAAGTTTGTCATCACCACATCACCGTTATAGTCAAAATGAAGTGCCAACAAATTTCTTATGATCATTTATCAGCGATATTCGGAAACCATAGAGATCCAATTAATATGTGTGATGTACCATAGAAAATAAAACTTAAAAACATTTTTTTTTTATGTATTTACTTTACTTTACCTACTTCAAAGCAGTGAGTCCACACCCACCCCAGCCCCACCATGGTTGAGGCTGAGGTGCGAAAATTTTAGGAAATGTTACCTCAAGCTTGCCGCAAATGACACTCTTATATAGTAAGTCATCATAACATCACCATGATCTTTTATCAGCGATTTTCGGCTATCATAGAAATCTTATTAATTTGTATTGTACCATAGAAAATAAAACTTAATTGTCTTTGATGTATTTACCCTTTTTTACCTACTTCGTGTGCTGAAAATCTTATACTTTTTCTCATACTACTCAAATTATAACAAAAGCATGCACACTCGAGTCATGTATTATAGGTAATTCAGATGTAAGTGATACTGGTATCTTGCTATAATAATATAGGATGTACAGTACTGTACTTAGGCAGTACAGCCCTTTTTCGTTAAAGCCTGGGTCATTTATGCAGTTCATTTCATCAACTTTCAGGTATCATCTTTACTTATGAAATTACATTGCGGTTGAAATGTGGGTGGGGGGGGTGTGACCAATCCCACTCAAAAATATGTGGGAGGGACATGCCCCCTTCCCCAGGATTTGCGCCCATGTTCATAATAAGCAATGTTTCCTTACAGTATATCATCAAAATATAATGAAACATTCGTTAGATTATGATGTGATTAAAGAAATACATACAAATTAAAATGGCATGAATAAACATTATAAAATTGTTGAAAATATTACTATTAAAACATTATTAAAAAAACTTATATTGCAATTTCCAATGATTTGTAGATTGAGTCATATTTAGTCCTTCCATATTATCAGTCCTATCTTTTAAAAATCCTTGATTAGGAAAAGCCTATTCGATTATGGCCGATGGTTGTGATGTTGCTAAACAGTAAAGCTGATGAACTTACTGACTTGGACCGAGTCATCTACTCATTTGATAAGGTAAGACAAATCCGTAATCAGGATTCCTTAGGGGGAGGTGGGGGTTCTGACAAGAGCAAGGGGTCAAGGGTGTGTCTGTGGACCTATTAATAAGATCTTATTAATAGGTCCATGTTGTGTCTAAGTGGCCTGGCACTCACAGAGTTGTTTGGTCAGGGAGGTAAGCTACAAACAGTTTAATATGTTTTATTTATACTGTTTAAATTTTACTGTACATTTCATTGCTTGGAAAGTATGTTGCTAAAATATACAGCAATTTTTTTTTTGTTTCAGACACAATCAATGACATATTTTATTACAAGACTAGAGGGACGATTTAGTTTGGTTGTTATTTTCAACTCAAAGAAATCTGAGAGAGATTCCTATATTAAATCTTTCATGCAAGGTAGGTTAAACTGCTATGGTTCAGTGTTATTGATGTTCCTTTTTGTGTTTCATCTGGATGACTGAAATGCAAGTTCATACAAATCGAATCCACATCCACTCACCTTTCAGACAGAAATATAAACATCACAACAAAAGACAGACATACAACACGATAGGCAGATATTAGACAGGTGGCTGGATATACACAGAGGAGCAGACCAGTAACCAGGATCCTGTAAGGGGTTTACCTATCAGAGCCAGGGTGCCAGCTGAAGCCTTTGTAGCTGAAGCATTCTAGCATGTAAATTAGGGGTTCTCAACTTCCTGCCCGTGGGCCATCTCTGGCCTGTGATTGCATGTTATACGGCCTGCAAGAATGAGCCGAAAATAATATTTTCTGTAGGCTTGGGCTATGATTTGTAACCTCAATAATTTTTTAAATTTTGCATTCTGTTTTGCCGACTAGGCCTACAGTGTATATTGCCCCCACAAATTTTAGCGATTTAATCAATCAAATTGAAAGAACTGTAGCAGCAAACAGCAAATAAAAGAAATCTATTTATACTCTTTGAGTCGGCCTAGCGCAATAGCATGGCGGAGCTCTGCTGCCTGTAGTTTGTAGTTCCATATACGGCAAAGGTAACTTTCTTAGGTTAAGATGCCCTGTATGAGTGTCTAGGTGCTTATATATTTTTTTAAAATTTCTAATTTGGGAAGGAGAGACACTCTGCTCCCAAACCCTTCCCCTGGCTAAGCGCCACCACACACCAAACTACATTTCATTTAATTTATTTCGCCTTTTTTTTTTTATCATAACAATACAGTAAAATATTCAGAAAATTCGAAAAGGTAATCCATGTTTCCCCCAAGAGCCGGCAGGATTACCAAAAAGTAAAATTAATTACTGTCTGAGTGGCTCTCCAAGCAATGGGGGAAACATGGACTAGCAGTATAAATACATTATAAATATATATATATATATATATATATATATATTTGTGTGAAAATACAAAAATAATTAACAATTAAAATATGTTCATTACTTATATTATTATTGTTATTTTTATTATTATTATTATTATAACAACAATAATAATAACTACAATAATTTTAATTACAATTACCAGCATAATAATTATTATAAATATTAAACAATCACACAAAGAAATAAAAAAGTACACAAAAAATTTGATCAGAAATAGGAAAACACCCACCCCCAAACCCTGCCCCCACTTCACAAACCAACAAACACCAAAAAGAGAAAATTAAGTAATTAGAGTTCACTTTTAGCTTGACTTGGGCATAGGCATATCTGAAATTCTCTCAGTTGTAAAAATGTTCTTTTAGCTTTCTGAGAAATAAGTTAATGTTAAAGAGAGCAGCATCACGTACTTCAAGTGGAAGAGTTTCCCATACAATGGGAAAATAATTGAAAGCAGAGAATTTAAATGCATTGGTTCGGGCAAAGGCATGCCTAAAACGCAAATCATCAGAGTGTCTAGTGTTGATCTTAACAAATTCCAAACAGTTTAAATCATACACATGATAAAGGCATTTACAAACAAAAGCTACAAGAATGAAATCGTATCTAGCCTTCATAGAGATCAAGTTAAATTTAACTAATCTCTCCTCATAGCTTAACACAGATCTGAGTTCATTTGGGATGCTCATACGAGTTGCTTTTCTCTGAACCTTTTCAATAGATTTCAAATGTCCAGCTTGAAATGGATACATCTCTTTCCCTGGCCCTTTAACTTTATTCAATGAACAATTTTGGCCCACTTTGCAATATATAATAACAGTAACCCCTGATAATAATATATAACCCCTGATGTAAATTATGAATTTGTTGAGGGGAGGTTTTGTTTATCAGAGGGGACATAAAAGGAGTTTAAGTGAACCATAGAATCTCCATCTGGTTATTAGCACTGGTAGACAGATGAATAGCAACTCAGACTGGCAAACAGACAGACAGACTGACAGACCGAAAGGTAGGCAGGCAAGAAGACATAACCAAAGCAAGCAGACAGAAGATGGGTGGTTGAATGTATGGAAGGAGTAATGTTTTTATTTTATATTTTGTTAATTTTTTTACCCATTTCAGAAATGAATATGCTACTCCGTGGTAGTAACATATTTGCTAGTTTACGCCTTGGACACAAAAATTGAGGCAAGTAAATAAAATTATAAACAGATAGTCGCCTTAGCAACTGTTTCCATGGTTATGGTAAAGGTCAGCTTTGATAAGCTGTAGTATTACAGGATGTGATTGACTGACTGGAATTATTTGGGATCAAGGTCAGGAAGTGCATCAAGTAAACGCCTCCGATGTCCTGGATGATAAAAATGGAGTCTTCTTTAAAGATAGAAGCTTGAAAGAGTTTATTCACAGATTACATGCAACAGTTGATGTGTTTAACCTACATTTAGCTCATCTCAGCAAGCAAGTTTAATTATAATTCTGTAACCATTGATTTGGGGGAAAGGCATTGCAAAATTATATACAGTATTGTGAAAAAGTTGGGTAGCAGCTGCTTACACACTGCTACAACAAAGCTTGGCATAAATAGGTGTGTAATTCAAATACCATTTTGCTTGAAAAAGAACTATGGGATATGACTTCACCATTATTTCATATTGGCCGACATTTGTACTTTCTATGCTGGTTAAATAACAGGGTTGTTCAACAGGCTTTCACTTGAATGGAAATATCACCCATAAATTTTAAAAGCCTCCTTGATTTGCTGATATTGTAGACCTTGATCATGGGGTTGCCAAGTCTTGTGCGATTCGTGGTAGTCTCTCAGAAAATGACGTAGACTGCCACACACACGTAAGCAAGCAAAAACCTCCCACAAACTGGCCCACACATCTAATGTAGGCATAAATAAATACTTACTATTACTGTATACTGTATTAAAAAATATAATTTTCTAGTTGAATCTTCCATATTTTCATTCTAAATACGATGTTTAAACTTAAACAGACTGAATGAAAATACATATATGTATATATAGAATAACAAATAAAAAAAGTGTAAACAATTATAATTTTATTTGATGTTTGCTTATTATCTACATACTGAAAATATATGTATATATATTAACAAATAAAAAGAAATATAAATCAATTATATTTTATATTGCAACATTTGATTAAAGTTGTGCTTTTTAAAATATAAAATTAAGTTCAGTATTTTTTGAGTTTTGAATATTATAAGGTAAAGTATTATATTTCAACTAAAAATTTGATTAAAATATTTTCCTTGCCAATTTAGAGATGTGTACATTTTTAGCGCATAATACTAGGTTTCTATGCACTTTCAACAAATACCAATGGAAAGAAATTGAAAAAAAGAAACAAATAAGATGAGGAGAAAGAAAAAAGGAATATTAAAAAAGAAGTTATTTGAAAGTTAATAGGTTATTTTGAAAGTTAATAATTTGGTCTCACAGTAATGAAAACGATTTTACGATGGAATTTATATCTTTAATTGTTGGTTTAAATATTTTTTTTATATAATATTAATTAACATTTATAAAGTGCTCTTACACGTATGGTCGCACAGCTATGAGAGGAATGATAAAAACTTCCTCTAAGTGGAAGAATGACAAACATTTTGAGGTACAGTCGGGGGCGGATCCAGAGATGTCCGAAAGTGGGAAAGATCGAGATATCACCACCCTAGCGGATCCGGGGCCCCCGCGTTTTCTTGACGCTCGGAAATAACCTCAGAGGCGTTTTAACGATCGTTTTTTTCTTTTTCTTTCTTTTTTTTTTTTTTTTACTTTTCGCTAAGCGCCGCTCTCTAATACGCCCCGCAGCGCTTAATCGAGAGTATTATTACCTTGTGTGTAATGAAATACTTTGAGAAACAGGGTTTTCAATACAACGCAGGCCCGTAACTGGGGGGGGGGGTTCGGGGGTTCGGACAAACCCCGCCGTTTGCTAGCTGGCTCCGCTTGGATGGCAAAAAAAAAAAATCTCGAAAGAAGATTGCTTAAAAAAAAAAAATCAAATAATCTTTATGGACAGTAGCAACTTTTAATACAAGTTTCAAGATGGAACTCTTATTTATGTGGTCAGTGCTTCAAAAGGCTCCACTTTTTCCAAATTTGAACCACCTCCAAAAAAATCCTAGTTACGGGCCTGCAATGTATACAGTGTTTGAATGAATAAATAATACAATGAAGACACAAGCCAGGGGCGAATTCAGAGATGTTCGAAAGGGGGAGCCAAAAGGGTTGCCGAAAGTGGGGCCGATCAAGATAAAACTACCCTAGGGTGTCCGGGGGCATTCCCCGCGAAATGTTTGTTTCCTAGACACCCGAAAATAACCTCTGATGCGTTTTGTGCGATCATTTTTTTCTTTCTTTCTATTTTTTTCCCTTTTATTTTACTTTCCAATGGGGTGGGGCTGTCTCTTATACACATCTAGATGTGTATAAGAGACAGATTTAACTGTTCCCTGTCAATATACGTATAGGCCTTTGTATTGTATTCATGTATTGTACAGTGCATGTCATACATATTCAATTTAATTTGATTTATGAGTATGTGACACGACGATGATAAATTTCAAAGAATAATTGATGGTCTTTGCGTACTGACCATTAATTTAAGAGACGGATTATGGTTACTATAGTTTCGATCATCCTAACATTAGTGCTCATCCCTGTAATTGATGAAGAATGATGAAGTGTTAAGCTAATACACTTAATTAATAAATTTCAACATTTGAATTGCTTTGTGCATTTATTTAAATATGTCATTAGGTTTTCAATTAAAAAACGACAATTGTCTTTCCCTGAAAATTTACAGACGCAAAAATATTACCGTTTATATAATTTTTGCATAGGCTCAGGTCTCTAAAATTGGCTCTTAATCAATTTAACAGTTTGTGTTAACTTATATACATTTAACATATACGATGAGTCCTCAATTTGTGATTCTACAAATCATAGAATAATTTTAAAAAATTCAAAATTCTATAGCACCAGGTATTCCCATGCGGTCTCTATCCAGGTACAAACCGAGCCCCTATATTTCTTAATGTCGATGATCAGACGAGAACCTGTGTTTTCAACGTAGTATGGCCTTAGAGATAGGTAGTATATGAACAAATTTCTATAGCAACGTAGACTATACATGCATACATTGATTTCTCAAGTTAGAATGTTACAAACATTGAGGAATAGATGATGGAACTACATGACGATAAGATCCTGATTGGTCAAAGATTAAATCCGTAATTGGTCAATTTTCTAGAAAAATAAAGTCTAATATTCATTGAACTCCATAATTGATTCATCAAGTACCACTCCTCTGTGCGGTAGGAAAATGTATTAATCTGTAATTGAAAGCGGCTGGTAAATTACTTGTATTTTCAGAATATGATAACTTAAATACCGTATTTATTCGAATAAACGTCCCGCTTTGAATAAACGCCTCTCTCAAATAGACTCTCCGGGCGTCAATGACTCTAAATAAAACTAGTGGAAGCAACATCATTCTCAACACATCCTATTAATATTCTACTCCAGTAGAATTACCGTACGCTTTTGCTAACCTGTATCAATAAGTCTTTATGATCACGCAGTAACACGTTTTGACGGTAGTTATGTGTTGTAGTCCCACATTTAAAGTAAAATTAAGGGGCGTTTATTTGAGTAATACCCAATTTACAGCCAAATAAATTAACGCCTCCCTTGAATAAACGCCTTCCTCGAAAAAATTCCTCAACAATAAACGAATAAATACGATATCAAATATATTGTTCAACATTTAATCAACACATAGGCCTACATATTTAATTCTAATTCAACGGTGAAAAGTGAATGCCGTACAGCGACTGTTGTGGATGAACAAATTATGTTACACTAAATTAGTAAACTTAAAGACAATTGTATTGAAAGCAAGAAAGTGAAAGGCCTGTAGGAACTATTGACCAATGAGATTTCCTGTTTGCGATTCGTCACAGGAGCGCTGCTACGGTACCACTCAATGGGCTTCCGGGTTAAGCCAGGCATAAACGCATGTAAACAGTTAAGTCTAACCGCGGTAGCTCTCCGAATTTATTTAGTGTTATTTCCGGGTAGATACCAAGCAAGTAAAAAATCACTATGGTCTACTAATCGTTAGCATCGAAAGAGGTTGTAGAATGGAGTTTTACTTAATATTGTTTAAAAATATTCCTATGTGATCTTAGAGGCCCTACTCAACGAGAATCATGTTGTTTATCGTCGTTGTAACTTGTTTCTTGTGCTGTGGTAATGGAATGTCGCAGCCAACACATAACGAGACGGTGGAGGTAAGTGTGTTAAAACTACTGTGCTTTCACCGTTGGTATATTGTTATTAACTGATACTCAACTAGAGGATTCTAAAAAATTCCCTCAAATTGTAAGCCTGTTTAAGCAGTGTATTGACCCTTCAGTATATACTGTATAGACATATTGGGGTAGTGAAGGTACCCTAACACTTCTTGGCAGCACTGTATTTCGATGCACCTGATGCAGCAATGCAACAGATCCTTGGTGAAAAATATATTAATTATATATATATTTCTTTTTTGCCAAAAAATTTAAGTCAGTTCTAGATTTTTAAGTTTGGGCAACATAAAATATTTTTGTTGGCGGTATTTATAATTTAGTTCATATTTATCATAACTTTATTATGAAGAGATAAATGAATAACCTTATTTCTGCAATGGAACTTTAGGGCACATAGAAAAAAATTGTTAGATTATCACTCCAGCCTGCATAAAAAAAATTTGGGAAATATTAATGCGGGAATAAAAAACAAATTTTTTGACGCATCATTTATTTCAACAGCGTAAAAAAACAATGCAATTTCGTGAGTGGAAATACATTTTCTTAAAAAAAAACAATAAAATTATGTCTTACTTATACAATATTTACAATATTCTTGCCAAATAAAAGCAGTCCTCCCTCAATCAAAAAAAGCAATGGCTGTATTCGCCTGGTAGTTTTTCGTTAAACCACGCCCACCTGTGCAATGGTAAAATCCTACTAACGAAGACAACCAGTCAAATAAAAAAATTGGTAAATACTCGACAAAACAAAATGGCTGCATAGTTAACGCGATACACTGCGTAATCAAGGTTGCTTCAGGTTGTGACAGTATGCGTTTTCATAAAAAATAGTTTTTATTCAGTTTTTGAATTCTGCCTACAATTATTTTTTGACATCATGTGAGTAAATATTATAATTTTTATTTTCTGAAATGCAAATGTTGTTAAACTGACCAATCGGCCATGTTTGTTTTGGTCATATGGATAACTTAACGCTGATTAACTCACTCTGGTTTACATTAATTGTTTTGTCAATGAAGTCTATTTCATGAACCATTCAAATAAAAATAATACTCAACGAAAAATAGTAGTCAACAAAATGAACCAGTCGAATAAGCCCAATATTCTGTTGTTCCGATTAAAAAAAAAACAAAAAAAAACTGCCTTTCCTCATCACTTTTTTTTTTTAAAAGAGTGATAATTTAATAATTTTTACTATGTGCCCTTAAAGGCCTACTCATGCATAATCAATAAAATCATGGTGCTGCTGTATCTCTATAAAATGACTACACTTAACAGAGCATTATGGTTAATGGCACACATTTCAATACAATTGGGAAGTCATGTGTGTATTTAGATAACTTTTGTCAATGTGACTGTCAATATACAGTAAGCTGTGATCATAATAGGATTCATTTTTCATTATGGGGGTGTTCACTGTGAGAGGTCATGAGGGTGGTAAAAGTACAGTTCCGTGCCAAACAATGCTTATTTGCATGCTTTTTTTTAAAAGAAAATATGTTACTAAATGATTCTCTGGAGCACATTTGTATCTGAGTTGAAAAAATTACATTTCCAATCTTTATTTTGATAGAACTTTATAGATACAGGTCCACCTCACAGTCACTGCCCTCATCCAGATGCTAAACAGGCATTGATGAGAATGCATAGAATTAGAAAGGCCACCTCCAAAACTAAAGACAATGTTTCTGCGGACCCTTTTTTTAACAAATGTGTTTTATCTTTATTAGACGAAAGTAAAAGACCATGAAAACCCCAGTCCCCAATGTGGTCTTTGATTGGAGTGAGGGAGCCCTGTATTTGATACAGTACTTTAATTTTCTGCAAATTATAGGCAGCATGTTTTTAATAACTGTCCTTATTGTTGAAGTCAATGACCTCATTCATTCAACAATCACGTAGTGGTGTATAAGAGACAGATATATATGTGTGTGTGTGTGTGTAGGTCTAATCTAAAATGAAAGTAATCTAAAAAAAAGTAAAAAATTTGCCGCATCAATTATTTCAACAGCATAAAAATAAGAAAATGCAATTTTGTGACTTTAGATACATTTTCTTTAAAAAAATATAAAATTAAACCAATTTTTATGCAACATTTACTATTACTAGCCAATTGTAAACAGTCCCTCCTTCATCGATAAAAACAAAAGCAAAATAATATATTGGTCCGATTAAAAAAAAAACAACCACCCTCCCTTATTTTTTTTTAAAGAGTGATAATCTAATAATTTTTTCTATGTGCCCTAAACATGTTCATCTGAATGTACAATATTTCTACTGAATTTGAGTGAAACTGTGGTTTATAGGGCAAGTACCCACTTTAATGTCATGATACTGGGTTTAAATCCTACAAAGATACTTTTGTACAGTACTATGAACTACTGACTCCCAATGCTGTCTTACTGAGACTTTCCAGTGTTTCTATTAAACTGTTGTACTACTGTACCGCCTAAATCTAATATACAGTATAAACTTTAAAAATATAATTAGTTGCCTTGTTTAAACCAGTACTTGCATGTAACACGTAAGTTACCACCAGATTTTGTTTTTTTTTCTGTCTACTATTATTAGTATTTGGTTTTTAAAATAAAAGTATATAACTTAAACATTTTAGCAAACTGTATACCACACTATAAAGATCAGTGATTCAGTATAATGGCAAAAATGAATTAGCAGGAAGTTATGAAAAAGGGGAATATCCTGGTGTAGAAATCAGGATGTAATAAGGAAATGCTTTGTTTTAATACATAAGAAAGAGCACTTTATAGACTATTTTAAATTATTTATATTTGCACAGCCTTTCAACAGCATGAATTTATACTGGCTTCATCAGGTGCAGGCAAATGATTGTAGTTTTTATACAGTAAATTATATCCCTGATTGTGGTACGTTTTGTGCAAGTATGTAATATGTGTCGCCTATTTAATACATGGGTCGCAAAAACAAAAAAAAAAGAAAAAAAGAGGTAAAAGTCGCCGCCTGATAATGAATCAGTAATTTGGCAAGATTTTTTATTTTAATTTTTATTTGAATGAGGATTTTTTCTGATATTTTATAACATGACTTGAAATTACACAGTGGCAATACTGTAGTCTTGTCACATTTTTCTTGAATATATATCTGCAGTATCTGTTTTATAAATTGTCAACAAGTTTTACAGTATTTTGTTTTATTTAGGCTGTTTACAAAAATCATTCCTAACATCTTCATATTTAGAGTAGAGAGTATAGTAGAAAGATACAGTAATGCAGCCACCAAAATTGTCACCAAATGATTGAGGTGACATTTCTGGACGTCACATTAATTGCTGATAAATATTATGACCAGATGATTGTTTACTGTAGATTGGAAGGTCTGTCTAGATTATTAATTGTCACAGTCACCACTGGTAATTACTCAGCATTAATTTTAGTAAGTGATTCCACGGACTCAAAAAATATGCTAGTACTGTAATACTGTGATGTTACAAACTACTTTTGTTATCATTAAAAGCCCTCCTACTGTATTTGACGCCCTCAGGGTAAATATTATGAGATAGTTGTGCATATTAAATATCTGCTTTCGAAAAATTAAGCTATATCCTAAGGTTGTTTTTTTCATAATCTTTGTCAAATTTATGGTGGTAAGCGATACCAGTTAATAAGTTAATAGTACTTCATTTTTTTGAAGTTGTCATCAACATAGTGCTGTAGGAGAAACCTGGATTTCGTTTCTGTTTGGAATGATTACACTGTTCAATGGTTTGTGTGGCAAATGCATTTGAAGCCTTAGTACAAAAAAATTAAGGAAGTAAATCCAAAAATCATGTGACCCAAAATAGACTGTAGAATAGAATACCAACCTACAGTACATCAAGGAATCTTTGTAATGAGAACAAATTAAAATTGTGCAGTGATGCATCCCCGTGGAGCGCACTTGTATAGTAATCTAATACATGTTATTGTTTTTATAGTTATTATATAAAGGTGCATTTAGAAGTGTCATCGATCATTTCACGTATTAATTATGCAGGTTCTACATTAATTGATAATATAATAGTTGTACTACTGTAGTTTAAATAATAATATTTAATATTACAACTTAAAATTTGAATATAATTTTCTTCTTATCTGCAATAGACTGTTCGATTGACAGTATTCTGTCCAACTCGTTAGTTCACTGGCTGTTTTGCCAATAAAAAATTTTAAAATATTTAGATTTTTAATTACTGTAAATGTCAGAGAATTAATTGACTATCCAGGCCTTAAAAAAATAAACATCATGCTTTATGTTTAGTTGGGCTCAGTGTAGAAACTACCACTTAATATTTTTGATTACTTAAGGCCTAACCTGATTCACATACTACAGAAAATTTACTAATGTCGTGGATCTCTATTCCAATAGTTCCCCTACCAAAATTTGCTACTTTCAGATGATTCCAACCTTACCAAAAGTTGTATAATTGAAAAACTTATTTTTGAAGTTGATGTCTTTTTTGATTTTGTATCCATTCAATATTTATTTGTTTATATGTTTAAAGTTTAT